CATCTATGCAGATGGCATAACTCTGTTCCACGACAGGCAGCGTTGGGGAGCAAGGACATACACTACAATGCGGCCTTGACGCTGTTCAGCCTTTCCAAAAAAATACATTGGCATTTCCGCTTCGCCGGAGACGACTGAATACGTCGTGGTATTCTCTGGCCCCCAACACCTCGCAACGAAATGCGCTGCCTTTACAACTTAACACTAAACAACACCACTATCAGCGAGAGCGAACTCTGCGCATTTTCGGACTATTCATAGACAATGACGGCAGAGCCGGGACATGGATAACTAGAGTCAAGAAATAACGCACCCAAATCATCGCTCGAAATGACGAGTCACAAACCGAACGTGGGGCCCAGGCGAAAAAGAGACCATACTGCTCGTCCATGCCCTCTTCTCCTCAAAGGTGGTGTATGCCTACAACTAATGCTACCTGACACAGTGCCAACGCGACATTGTCGAGAACCTTAACAAGGAAGCGATACGGCTTATCACATGCCTTTCCCGGCACACCTGACCACCGGACCTATACGCTCATGGAAATCTCAACAAGCTCGCGGATGTAGCTGAACAACTCATGCCTGCACAGCTCACTCGGTTGTTAAGTACAAAGGCAGGCCAGGCCGTTCTCCAAGAGATCAGGCAACTTCCATCGTCCGCACCAAAACATCCGCCGCTGCCGCCACAACCCTGGGAAAGGCAGGTAACCTTAAAGGGGCACTGACAGCCTAAAGGCCGTATTTTTTATCGTCTCAAACGATGCAAGTTGCAGTCATAGACACGCAAAAAAAAAACGCATCGCGAAAAAAAAAAATCTCCGCGCGCGCGTGCCTTTTTATTTTTGGCGGTCGATTCTCCCGCCTCTCGCCTCCTCGCTTCCTTTGTTTCCTAACGTCAAGAATCATGAAATTTAGAAGCTCCCTAGGCGACATTTCTATAACATTTAATAACGCCAATTGTAAAACATGTTTTTTAACGCAATTGCGAACGCACTACGGCCCTTCTTTTTGAAATACCAAAAATCGGAGTCCGTTGTGGTGCCGTCTCCTGGATTTGTATCCTCCCTCGGAAAGCAGCCGACACCGCTCGAACCCGGTCCGCCGCCGCTTGCTCCTTTCCTCCTCGCTTTGGGTTCGCCATGGCAACAGCAGGGAGTCGTGAAAGAAAGTGAACTCTCAGGACTCCGCAATGTTTGACGTCAACGCACCGGCGCGGATCGCGCGGGAACTTTGAATTCGGCATTTGGAAATTGTTTTTTTTTTTTTTTAATTCACAAATACTATATTCCCAAATATCAAATTTTGAGGGTAATGTTCTGGCATCGTTTTCAATCGTTTCAGATAATAAAAATATATAATTTTGATGTGTCAGTGCCCCTTTAACAGCTGACGCTGCCTTACCACGACGCATGGACGCCGACCATCCAGAGTGACCAGCATATCATGCCAGGGTGGACGAGCGGCACGTTGCTGAACTGGACCCAAGACGACACGTCATTTACAAAACGGAGGCTGCTAGCGGCCTCGTTTCTGCCCAGGGAGCAACCCGAACGTCGGCTGCGTGGGTTAACATTACCCACCCTGATGTGTGGTTCCACCGGCTCCCCACAAGAGTGGGCATTAAGGGCGCCGAGTTAGAAGCTATTGTAAAGCTGCCCTTCATACTGAACACAACCACTCAGGAGCATCAACCACAAACATAACCATCTACACAAACTCGCAAGTGGCCTACTCGGTGTGCCGCCACGCATCCTAGTCGACCAGTGACCGCGTGCACAAAATCTACGGCATCGCCTCCCGTTTGCATACCAATCACCACACTCAACTTCGTGTCGCCTGGGTACCCGCCCACTGGGGTATTCGGGGAAGCGAATGGGCCCATAATAGGCGCGTGCAGCACTGAGCAAACCTTCCGCGCCAGTCATACCCACCATCTACAGCGGGCCCCATTTCGATTCTTCGCGACCAGACAAGTCAGCCGGACCTCACTGAGAGAGCCGCTCTCGCCAAGCTGGAGCGAAAGAAAATACTCGGCAACCTGAAAAGGACTGCGGCCTCCCTTTTCAACAGGTACAACAGATTGATACCCCCTATGCCAGCAGGAGTGAGCCGCAGGGCCCATACTCTCGTCCGCCGTACCGCCACCAACACCCGTATGCTGCCGGCCCTGCGCAACCGCATATATCAAGATGACCCTCAGCAGGGCTACTATACAGCATGCAACACCCTTGCGACGACGCAGCACGTTATCTGGGAGTGCCCCGAGCACGCTGCGGCTCGCTTCGAGGCCTTGGCTGACATCCCGGCGGCAGACCAACCTAACACCTTTGAGGACTGAGTGATCCCACTAGACAAGCCGCCGCCTACAATGCGGCTCCTGTGGAATCAGCTCTGCAGCTTTTTCTACGCCGACGGCGGACCAGCGGGGCTCTTGCGCCGATGGCCCGTCAGTGACTCCGAACTCCCTTCAATAATCCCATCGCACGGTCGCGCTTTAGAGATTTTGGCGACATTTTGCAGCGCCCCATATTGAAACGGCCATCGGCCGCTCTCGGGGGCGGCTGTGTCAAAGGTATTATTATTCTTATTTTTTATGTTTTTATCTTTCTTTGCCACTGAGGATGTTTTAAAGCAAGAGCAGCCACGTCTGGCATCAAATAAAGATTTTTTCAAGTCAACTCAACCCTGAAAGCACAATAATCCCAGAAAAAAACATTACCTTTTCCTGTCGCTCGCATAGCGTCGCTTACAAACCGTTCTAACGGTTTGTTTTTGCAATAGTTCCCTTTATTTTATTTCTCGTGCGTTATTATTTCCCACTCGGATGAGCTTGCTCTTTGTCGTCTCGAAATCGGAAATTATACTGGAACATTTGTCTTTCAAATTAGGAATTCGCGTATGCTTTCGCTGCTAACGCCATTAAGAAGTACGACTTTTAAATATATCGGCGAGCTTTCATGCCCTGGTTCTTTATGTTTAGTTCCACCTCAGGTCGGAGCACTCGCTAGGAGAGTACAAAGACGAACAAACACAAGAACGCAAGTTTCCAATGTATTCTCTGTTTTTGATTCACTTAGGGATTATATCTCACAATTAGAAGATAACAGACGATAAGGAGTTGCGTTTTTTTGGCTCTACTTCATGGAGCCAATTAGCTCGTAGCGCCGGCTGCGAGCTAATCCGCAGTATGCTGATATTCCTAGTGACACGTTATTTGTTTCTACTAGTTATCGATAAAACAAAAAAAGATGCATTGATGGGAATAATGGTTCAATAAACAAAACATCGCGATTATACTATTATTTGTATTTCATAAACGGTTCGAAAATGGACGAACTCTGTTTCCGAGCTGGAGTGCTCTCTCTGATTCGGCAATCGCTATTCTTTTTCTTTTTCTTAACGACGATTATTGGCCGCTATTGAACCTGGAGAGATTGATGTTAAGAAGGACGATTTTGTTTTTTTATTCAGTATTTCACTGTTTTAGTGTTCTGTGAAAGATGTTTTTGTTTTAATAGGAGTACTAAAGTTATTATACTTTTATTACCAGAGGCTATAGTTTCCCGTAGGTATTACTTCAAAACATTGCAATACAACAAAGCATATACAGAGAATTATTGTAAATTAAATATTGTCTTTGCTTTATAGAGAGCACAAATGATCGCACACTGTAAGCAACTAAACAATTTACAATACTTACTTGATAAAGGTAGAATGATTACAGATGCACCTTTATAATTAGAATATAATCAATGGACACACAGAAATGCAAGTACAAAAATGTAACTGCCCAAATATAGGGGAAGTTCCTGAGTTAAGAAAACCGTAATGATAGTTCAATTATTGCAAAGTTGCAAGCGAGCAGGTCAATAATGACGATAATGATAACTGGAGAAGGAGGACAAGAAATATAAAGGAAAACATGACTCTCATAACACAGATACGAGATTGGTGCGCGACCATAGAACTCCGCCTGCTCCCGGTATCGAACTAGTGACCTATCCATTTCCAATGGTGCTCTCCACCAAATGAGCTAGCCAAGCTAACTAGACGTCAATAGAGCAAACGTGTTTAATCAGCTAACACCAGTCTAGCACCAACTAGGGTGAACAACCTGCATTTTAAGATTATATTGACTTTGACCCTTATTGGTGTTAGACTGGTAGCAGCTGATAAAACCCGTTTCTTTACTAACGTCTAACTCCTGGTTACCTCAGTTGGCAGGGCGCTGCACTGGAAAGGGAGAGGTCGCTGGTTCGATAACGACAATGCGTATTTTATTGGTGGCGCACCACTCACTTAGCGGTGTTTGGAGATTTCTATTGTTTCGTTGTCCTCTTTCTCCAGGGATTACTATTGTCAAGAGAACTGTATTTTCGGCTGAGTTAAATAAATAATAGATCGCGGAAACCTCAAACTCCGTTAGAATGTGGCTGTAACGGTTGGGGTAGAACGCGAATGTTTGAGGGATTACCGGAGGTGTATCAAAAGATAACGTAGAAACACGAAATTTATCTATGAACCGACGACCACATAAGCCTATTAACATTATAAACCTAAAGCATACACGTGGGCGCTTGTGGGATCTATATCGGTGAAAAACACGTGCCAACAAAAAAGAGGATATTGTTTTCTTTTCTGCTGACAATTTGTTTCAGTAATACAGATGCTACAGGCGTCCAATGTAAGTATTTTATTTAAAGTGCATTAGACCTTAGTGAACGTCGGCTAGTAGAGAAATGTTCTTCATCTCAACTATTTCTTGATCTGGACAATGTCAGCTTCTCAAACTTTCGCTTTCTGTCTCAACCGCTAGCATCACGTTCTAAAGGAGGTTAAGCTTTCCTTCATGCATAATTTATTTACCTTGGCCAGAAAACACGGATCTCTTTTCTTGGTAACTTCCTTTATATGTTACTGATATTATATCTTAACCACGCTGTCCATCGAAGTACTGTCTTAACTTGGACATGTTTTGTTATTGCTTGCTCGAAACAGTTTCCAAGACAACCAAGGAGGTAGAACTGCAATGGGGGAACGCAGAAGCTGTCACAATGTACAGCGGACTCAAGATGGCACAGTTTGAACTCCAACAAATCAGCCTTACCAAGTGCAGTGGAACCTTCCAAATCGGTAAGAATATCGCTGACTACAAGTTTGAGAAATAAAACATCAAAATGCTTTGTTTTTATGCCAAGACCTTTGGTTACCAGGTAACTGTTTAACTCAAGTAAATTGAAGTAAGTTGAATTTGCCTGTTTCTATCTTATCCCAAACAAAAGTGGATATCACGCCATTTATTGCGCGTCCTCAACTCACGCTTTCTCAATGTTACCAACGCACTAGGTTTTTTTTCGCCCAATATTTTGTATTCAATTGCGCCATTAACGATATTTTACTTTTCTTTACATTTTTATAAGCGAAACGGCAGGTATTTTTATAGTCTTAGTAACAGTCCTTTTTTTTTTCGCCTAGTGTTAATTGTTGGCTTTTCCGAAATCTTCCTCGATCAAAAAAAATTATCCAACGAATGAAGTATGGAAGAGTAATTTTTTTTGTTTTTTTATTCATCAATCTTATTTTTTTCTGATGCGCCAAAAAACAAAAACAAAAAAAATTCATGTGTTCGTTTATAAATTTCTTTTTAAGAAAAAAAGCCATTTATGTTTCTAAGTTAATGCTAATCCTTACTTGACGACCTTAATAACAAAGTTTGTAGCGGTCCTTCCGTTCTACACTTCTGTATTCCTGTTTGTGTAAGTGCAGCACTCTGACGCAATGAGTCAATATGGTAATATATTCTTACAATTAAGAACTGGTAAATGCGGGAATCAGTTGTCACAGAGTCAATGTAAAATACAAAGAGAGTCTTGCTCATGCCTGATAATTGTAAAACCGAGTTTCTTTTCTGCTCTTCGTTCCCGCAGTAATGTTAGATACAATTTAATATTTTCTTTGTTTTACGCAGAAAAATAGGTATATGGTTGTTACGTAATTTAATTTTTGTATGACAGCATTTAATCATTTGATCTTTACAAATTGCGCAGTACACACACAAAAAAACAAAAAAACCTCTCAAGGTAGCTTCATGTCTCGCTAAAAGCCATGTATGGTAATGAATATTCGTACAGTAGACTGAGCAATAATCAGACCTCTTACATTAAATATTATATTCAATACATTTGAAGCTCACACAGCGCAAAGTGGGCACTGAGAGGGGGCCGACGTTGGTAACATCTGGGCAGCCCACGAGGGCCTCATGTTGGATTTGGAAATAAGGCCCAAGTGGGGCCCATCTGGCAGGCCATCCCGGCTGCCCCGGGGTACCCACAGGGGACCTATTTGAGCAGCGCGCATGGGCTGCCCCCTTGCTTGGCCCACAATGGCCCTACTTAATTTAAAATTTTCTCTACAGTGTGAGGTATTGCAGTGCATCCACGATTAAATCTGCCTCACTTTTCCCGTGTGCCTCCCGGAAATATTATTACCATTTGAATATATCATTCATATTAACGGAAAACAAACAGCGCAATGACAAGGACAGAGTAGAAGGCGGTAGACACACACAGCGCTGTGTGTGTCTACCGCCTTCTACTCTGTCCTTGTCCTTGCGCTGTTTGTTTTCCGTTAATATGAATGACCAACTAGCCCAATCGTAAACACTACTGAACTTCATTTCTGAATATATCAGTAAACCGTCATATGCAAGGCCATGGAAAAATTGGGTTTCTAAGCGTACAGAATGAAAGAAAAAGTGTGAGCGTTTTCAAAAACTCCATTTGGACGGGTGATAGGAACATATGGCCAGCTTGAGGCAGCTACAAACATACGACACTCGGACGTGCGTGTTTGGAATTGACACTCAAATTAAACACTCTGCGTAAAAATATAAACCCCATGTAGAATGGCCTTCTAAAACTATACGCAGAGTAGTGAGTTAGTGATAAAGTATTGCAAGTGTACACTTTTTCCACGTTTAAAGTTACAGTCCTCCAAAATTTAATGCGAAATTATACCGGTCTCCTATGCTTTATACCAAGAATGCGCAGTAAATATTCTCAATATGTCCAGAAAGTATCGACTTGGGAGCTACACACGTTGTTTAAGTAGTGCATGCCAACGCCTTTCCCCGTTGAGCCTCCATCTTCTTAAACGTAGACCCTCTAGTGCCGAGATGGGACCCACCGGAATTTTGCATGTGTAGCCCAACTCGTGCACGCACACGCTTCGCCGCCGTGGAGGCCTTATTTCGCGTTTGTCCCCCGAAGTCCCATGGAGTGTTTACATGGGCAGTCCAAGTCGGGCATGCCCACGCTTCACCGCCGTTGAATTCCTATCATCTCAACTTGGCCCCCTCAGGGCCGAGTTGGGACCCACGTGGTTTTGCATGGTCGGCGCAACTGAGGCACGCACGCGCTTAGCCGCTGTGGAGCCGATATCATCGCATTTGGCTTCATTGAGCAGTGCTGGGTTCCACGAAAGTTTTACATGGGCATCTCAAATAGAACATGCCCACTCTTCACCGTTGTGAAGCCCACATCATCGCACCTTGGGCCTCGGACGGCCGACGTGGGACCCACCAGGATATTACATGGGAAACCCAAATCGCGTCTACCCACACTTCACCCGTATCGTCATTAACACTTCCCCCAGATTGCCCAGGTGGTACTCACAGAGTATTGCCTGTGCAGCTCAAGTTCGATATGCCCATACTTAGCCCTCCTGAAGCCCACATCTGTGCTATCCTGCCTCCGCATAGTCGAAGTAAAACCTTTTTTTTTCAATTTGCAAACAAATGGGTAGAGGTGCAATATTGATGAAATGAAATTTATTATATACGAATTTAGATACATGACGTGGATACACTTTCGTGTAATCGCCTTGCCGATAAAGGCACTTATCACAAGGTCGCACAAACGTTCGCATGCCCCCCCCCCCCCCCCCCCCCCAAAGATTTTTCCTTGGGTTCAGAGCCTTGTATTACCGGTCAAGAATAACGTAATTTGCCAAAAATGGGCAGGCTGTATGAAAGAATCTGCGCAAAGTTTTGGGGAGGACGAACAGATGTCAATGATGATGGGTGCCGGGGAAAACCGTCCCTGAGGACTGACAGACTTCATGAATACATGACGTCTCTGACTAGTCAGGACACCTGCGGAAAGCTGCTTTCGGGCGTGCATTCGGAGCATGTTTTAAGTCATGATAATTATCTTAGTTTATGCGTTAACTATGTAGAGAATAAACTACAGTATGTTTGAAATGTTGTGAAAAATAGTACATCTTAATTCCCTATTGCATTTCGCTATTTGAGCTTATTGTTTACGAGACAAAGAAAATGTTATTCGTACCAGCGGCACCTGTACAGAAATTGGTGTGGCAATGTGGCTCGCACATTTACCAGAGTACCTTATTAATACCCAAACGCAAATATCTAAACATTACTTGTTTTATGAACTTTCAATACCCCTGTTCGTCTCAGAAAAAACATTAGAAAATAAAATTTTTCCGTGCGTGGACAGCAAACGTATGTAAAAGAATGCCACCCCACGCCCCTATAAAAGTAATTTTAAATCAATGCTTCTGTCAAGAGATTCATGTGGGTGATTCTATAGCAAATTTGATTTCCATCGGCGATATTTCTAGGTACAAGCTTGTTTCGGTAATATTTCTAACTCAAAGTGAAGCTTTGCTCGCGTCCTTAGCATTGCACTATTGTTGTCGTCTTTTTCGGGGAGTCCTATTTTGTTGCTACGTGGCCAACACACGGAGGTGAAAAATGTTGTCTTGCACCTTAAAGCGTTCAACAAAAATTTAATGAATCGATGATGGTTTTTAATATCAAACGCTGCAGGCGAGTACAGTTGCTTGCGGGCCGAGCTGAACCTGAAGCGGTCCATCGGCCACCACCTGGTGCAGTCGTATCTGCCATCCACCCTCATTGTGGTCGTCTCGTGGGTGTCCTTCTGGCTAGACGTGGACGCCATTCCGGCGCGCATCACGCTCGGGGTGACCACCCTGTTGACCATCTCATCGGAGAGCTCCGACCACCAGGCGAACTTGGCGCCAGTCTCTTACGTCAAGGCGCTGGACGTCTGGATGGGGACGTGCACCATGTTCGTGTTCGCCGCCGTCCTGGAGTTCACGTTCGTCTCCTACCTAGCCAGGAAGAAACTCATCGTGCCGGTCACCCTTGGTGACGTCGAGGCATCCCAAGACCTCGTGCTCGTCGTGGTGAGTATCAAGGACAGGTCTCTCTGCGCGAGACGTGTTATAAGCAGTCAGACCAGAACGGAACTAAGAAGATGTCTATTTGTCTCTATTTTGGCTTTGAAATCCATATTTAATTGACGTTAAAGTAGGCAGCTTAATGCGTAAAGGCATTCACTCTGCCGCTCATTATCTGCAATGGAAACAATGCGTCCAACGTATGCGCCGAGAAAGTAAGGGAGACGAGGAGACGAGACCGCGCGTAGACCTCGGAACGCCGAGCTCTGATTCAAATGATGAGTGGGTGTGCCTAACTTTAGCTGGCCTTTCTCTCCACTGCACTCATTGAAAGCGGTAGAATGCGGACCGCCGGCGTCCTGCGTTTAACTTTTGCATTGGAACGCGTTTAACGAGTGCAGTCAAGACAAAAACAGCCTATTTCTCAACTGCACTCGTCAAACTCATTAAGTCGGAGAACGCAGGTATCTGGCGTTGGTCTCTTGCGTTCAAACGCGTTCGACGAGTGCAGCATCGACAATGGTGCCAGCTTTAGGTCTACTTTTTAATGTTTCAAATCAGAGATCGGCGTCCTGAAGTCCCCGCGCGCTTTCGTCCTCTCCTCTCTCTAACTTTCCGGGCGCATTGTTTTAAAAGGGTGAATGTCAAATGTCCTTTATTTAAATGCAAAAGAGCACCAGTCATTTGTGTAATTTATCGTCCAATGTTGTAGAATTTTATTCCCCTTTGATGATGCTGGAACTTTGACTATATTGAGAACATTTGTTTTGTTTTAATACTGGAAAGGAATTGCATGGTGGCGAGGACACGCTGGTCCGAGATACATTTCGTTTTCTAGCTCGTAGCATCTGACTCCCGCTTTACCAATATCAGTTCGGAGCCCCTAACTGCGACAACATTTAAGTTGACTGATAAGGTACTACATCCATATTTTCCCATTAGTCTCAAAATGAAACACGATGTGATGTAAGATGAAATTTATAATTGGGTATGCAATTACATAGAGAGCAGACGTTGTTTTGATAAATCAAGAATACATCTTAACAGCTTGACGTTGCTCTATTTTTTGCTGGATGACGTACCACTCAATGTAGCACGTTGACGTACTGCTACGTTCAGAAGGATAGCGGGACGCCGCTATAGTTTACGTGGGCACGTTATATGGCCCAGTTTCACCGTGATTTTACGCAACCTCTAGTAATACCTTTTGTTAAATCGCATTTAACTGCACAGAGTGGGTCTAGAATAAGTAAGAAAGGAAACTTGCATTAAGGTACATAAGCCTTAAAGCTAAGTGGGTGTCAATGACAGACATTATAAAAGTACTGAAGTGCGTTGAAGAGAAAGCTAATTAAACAGTGTTTTATTTTAATTTTAGAAGCCATAATATCTTTGCAGTTCTTATGATCCATCTCAATGCGGTTTAACCGAGCGGGAAATATCACCACACACCTCTCCGAACAATCGCACCCGCGGCCGCATGGTTATGGTGCTTTCATCTCACTCAAGAGACCGAGGTTCTTCCTGGGCGCTAATGCAATATCTGTTGTGTTTCTGCAAATGTCGCGTTTTGATAAATTCGAGAACCCTGCTGCTTGTTCGAATTCAAAATTTTCTACGCGCCGAGCGTTCTACGCCGAGTGTTCCAGAAGCACACGCAAGTACAGGCTGCCGCAAAAGAAAATTTACAGGTTTTTTTTCACCGCGAAAATAAACTAGGCATCGCCGAACGCTCATTCTCCGCCAAAACGTAGCGTTAGAGGTCACAACCAGATGTCAAAGGTTCAGCCCGATCCGACTCCTTATTGAAAGGTTATAAGTGATTTTCTGAAAAGTTTTATGGGAATATGGCGCCCGACGGAGTTTTCAAATACATGGGGCTCTATGGCACCAGAAACCGAAAACGGGAGAAAATGGGTTTCATTTTTTCATTGACATTTTCAGAAAATCACTCATAACTTTTGGGGCGGAAACTTTGGCATCTGGTTGTGACCTGTAGCGCTACCTTTGGATGGAGAATGACCGTTCGGCGATGCCTAGTTTATTTTTACGGTTAAAAAAAACCTGTAAATTTTCTTTTGTGGCACCCTCTATCCTCTAGCGCTCTATCCAGCTATTACGCCTCTAAAGACGCCTGCGACGCTAGCCTTCGTTTAGTTGGTTTTTGGAACAAGTTCGTCCGATAAAACGTTTTGTTTCCTTCTATAATTATTTGACTCGTCAATTGTCATTTGTGCTATTTGTTGGAGGTGCGTGGTACCGCGTTCCATGCACGTAAAACGTACCCTTCAGAAGAGTTGCCATGCTCGTTCTTTTTCAAGTCTGAAAAAGTTGATCATCGTCAACGAACCCGAGACCCTAGTCAGCCGCCGCAACCAAGGCCAGCCTGCGGAGTTCGGTCATCTGTCAGAGCAGCCAAGGAAGACGAAGATGCCGACGGCGGGGACCGCGTCGCATCAGCCACCAGCTCGGCGTTACGTCGTTTACCTGCCCTTTGCTCATTGTGCAGTGGCATCGTTTCAAGGCGAGATTAAAGAGGAGAATGAAGAATGGACCAAAGAGTACGACCGAGCGGCGCGACACAACGACTTTGCATTAAAGGGAACCACTAAACGTCGGTTTGAGAACCACGAGCAAAAGTTAACATCGTGCAATCTCTGCAGGTGCGACTTGGTGAGGACGTTCACTACTGAACACACGGAAGAGGGCCGAGGACCCTTTTCGAATGCGAAGTGAGGTCCCAACGCCTGAGCTGCCGTGCCAACTTACAAGCCACAGAAGATAAGGCGCTGCGGGTCCTCTTTGCGCGGAATGAGGAACGAAATATTTGAGGCCTCGTGCGCAACCCGCAGACAACCGTCTAAACTAAGGCAAAAAATATCGAGCGCTCCCACCAAGCGCGAGGTTCCCACTACCAAAGACATCCAGGCATCGCTTAATCCACCCTGCTTAGCCGCTAAATTGCCCCTGTCAACTCGGACATCCGCGAAACTATCTGGGACGTCGTTTGGGAGGAACCCCGAAGGTTGCTGCCTGCCGCTAGTCGTCCATAGACACACGCCATCGCCGAGGTCGTGCGCGAGGAAGTCCAACGGGCGGTCCAACGTAAGTCAACTTGAGGACGACGACGCCGGAGGAACCAATGTCGAGCAACGCCGGCGTGGCCCCACAACCACCGCAAGCTAACCGCCAAGGCAAAGCGCCACCCCGACGAGACACTCCGATGCCGCGGATCCTCGACTTCCGCAGAGACAAGCGCGGAGCGACCTTTTCCCAGGAAAACCGATGTGTGGAGGACGGCCGTTCGACGCCCTTCGTGACACCACTGCCGGGAATACGATCATATCTACCGCCGTTGCTTGTATCGGCAAATAGGGCTTCGCAGCTTCCGCCCGAACGACACACGTTTATTTTACAGTGAGCTATTACGGGAGATCAAAGAATACATCCGACCACCTCAGTCTCTCCCGCGTGGACCTTGCTGAAGGTCCCGGTAGCCGTCACCACGGCGCCGAGCTTCGGCGATGCACAGACTCCGTCATGATTGCCTGTCGCCTTTGTCGCGCCGAAAAAAGAAAACGCGGCAACCCCTGAAGGTGACGTTGTCGTAGACCGAGAACGTAAAGAACCTTAAAAAAAGTGAAAGCCGTTTACAAATCCCTGTAACGCCGAATTGGAGCGCAGCTCTTGAGGAGGAGGAGTGAAGGGTACTGAGGGGAGGGTAGACCCCTCCTCCTCCCCTCATTCTTTAATATGCTCCGGGGGGGGCGGTCACGTGACCTCGGGGGGGGGGGGTGTCACGTGACTTCGGGGAGGGGGGTCACGTGACCTCGGGGGGTCACGTGACCTCAGAGGGGTCACGTGACCTGGGGGTCACGTGGGGGTCACCTTGGGGTCACGTGACCTTGAGATGACCTTGGGAGGGGTCACGTGACCTTGGGGGTCACGTGACCTTGGGGAGGAGACCACGTGACCTTGGGGAGGAGACCACGTGACCTCGGGGGTCACGTGACCTCAGAGGGGTCACGTGACTTGGGGGTCACGTGACCTTCAAAGGGTCACGTGGGGTCTTGGGGTCACGTGACCTTGAGATGACCTTGGGAGGGGTCACGTGACCTCGAGGGGTCACGTGACCTTGGGAATCACGTGGGTCACGTGACCTTGAGATGACCTTGGGAGGGGTCACATGACCTGGAGGGGTCACGTGACCTTGGGGGTCACGTGACCTTGGGATGACCTTGGTTACGCCGACGGCGACGCCGACGGCGACGGCGACGGCGACGGCGACGGCGACGGCGACGCCGCTCAAGCCGGGAACGGGCCCCTAAGAGCTGCGCTCTAAAACGCTGGAGACATCTTGCTCGACCGACGCCATGCATCGAAGCGACGCTTCTGCAATGGCGTCCAACAAACGCAACGTGATCATCAACGGCCACGACGCGTCGGTACTCGTGGACACCGGAGCAGACTACTCCGTCTTGAGTGGGAGGCTTTCACGCCGTCTTCGAAAAGTGACGACGGACGCTGTGTGATGGCCCGCAAATACGAATTGACGGAGGCCCCCAATGATTCCGACTGGTATGGGCTGAAAGCGAACTGAGACCCATTGTGAGACCTGCCCCACTGAGTTCGGTAATCTGGAAGACGATGCGAGGAACATTATCCTCAGAATGGGCTTTCTATGCGAGTACAGCGAACTAATCGATCTTAGACCCAACCGTCAGAGGCTAGGAAACCCTGTCCCACCACCGGATGATCCTAAAGCGACGTCATTGGCGGTCTGAGTCCATTTAACCACGTAAACGTACAGCAAACTGTCGAGTGTTTTCATACCAGTCGGGACCGATGAAGCTTAGTGTAGCGAAGTTCTGCATGAGCGAAGGTTCGAGTTGCTTCTAGAAAGACGAATCGGTGTCATTCGAGGAGTATCAAAACTTCAAGAAGCGTGGGCCATGGTCCTGATTACAAATATGCGGCAAGAGTGGCAACACTTGACGAAAGGTATC